CTGGGATGAAGAATGCGACAAATCGACTCGGATATCCTTCGGCAACGGTTACACAAGCGAAGTAATGCAAAGGAATATACGGGCTGTGTAAAGCCAAGGACAGAATGGGGATTATTAAAGAACATTAAGGGCGGAGAAAAACTCATGTGAGTGGATATGCCTAATATCTGCAAGCTTGGGAATCAGAGCCTAGGCGATCTGCTTAGTGAGGTGACAGTATACGTGCTTCTAAAGGCTTGCGAAATAGCGCTGGGAATGGAACCGAGTGAAATCTCTTAACCAGAAAGAAAGAAACGGATCTACGGGCCCATGAGGAAGATATGTTATGATACCCGAATAGGATCGGCAAATCGAGAGGGAGGGAGGGAGAGGCAAAGCAAACAGCAGGTGTGATGGCACCACACTAAACTTGTCAAAAAGGGCACATCTCTTAAGGAGTCGAATGTCAACGAATCAAAATTTGTTATACTGTGGGAGGGTGATAAGAGGGTAGGGTTTAGATGGACTAGGACAGAAAGAGGAGGGACAGCACAACCGTTTGGCAGAAAGTTGGTCAATGAGCTGGTTTCACTTGTCTCTTTGACGAGTTGTAGCTTGGTTCTGAGACTGGCAAGACTCACTGACGATGCTGGTTCAACGTCCAGGAATGCACCAAATCCACGATCCTCCGCTGGGGATTATGATAACAACTATAACAGATGACTTCAGACAGAATGCGTCCAACTAAGCCTCTGAGAACACACCCAAGTTGCGGAAATGAGGTCAACCCACTTCAAAATATTAAAAAAACATTGGCATCATTCGTGTCTTAACTGTCGCTCTAAATCCTAAATTTACTTTTTCCCCAGATTATATCCAGACTACTATGACGAGATAACAATTCCAATCAGCCTCCTGGGAATCAAAAAAAAAATCAGAGTATGTTTATACCTATTGTTATCAGTCACTTTCTTTGCTCATCTCCACCTGAATTTGCGGCCCTTATCTTTTGCCCTTACAGAGTGGATGCTATCCCAGTATGTCGGCGATCGCAAAAGACGTTGACCTTGTCTTTACAAATGCCCAGCAGTATAATCTGGAAGAAAGTATTATCCATCAGGACTCAATAACTCTTAGGAATCTCGCTATACGCAAGGTGCAAGACTTGATCACCACATATGGGGAAACGGTAGGAATTATTTTGAAACCATTTACCTTTATTTCCTATAACATTCCTCAAATTTTGCATATTGTTGGGATGGTTTTCATTTAATGTGCATGATATGATTAAAGTAATAGGGTTATCTCATCAGTTGATTAATTAACTCTTTCAGCTTCAATTTCCTTTAAAAAGTGCTCCTTACATATTGTGCTATATCATGTCTGATCTTAGTGATCATTTTTCATAATTTTATTCTATCTAAAAGACTATATGAACAGATGCGAAGCCTATTTTTTATATAGATGGACCCCAAAGCGAACCTTCAATCAGATGCCCTTGTTAAATTTTCTTAAATAATATATTTTTCTTAAGTTTGCATGCTTTTCATTTTTTAGCTATTTTTTCTTAACTATTTACTAACTCTACTTTCATCATCTTGATTGTTAAGTGCCTTGTTCTATAAGTTATCTTATTTTGCCAAATCACCTGTATTTTGCACTTTATATTAATTCTGTAAACTCATTAGGGCTCCTCTCGCTCCCCGCGCCGATCATCTGCCGCCTCGTCTCCACATTCCGCTTTACCTAGTCCTGGCGCTACTAGTCTCGTTTATTCAGTTGGTCAGATAACTCCTGGATCATCTTCTCTTGGATACCAAGGACCTGGTACCAGTGTCGGCTCAGGACTTACTACACTTGGGGGCCAAACGACACCTCAACACAACCAACAACCCGGGATTATGATTGCCAGTGGTCCGGCCACTGCCGGACAGGTCATGTCTATACCAGGAGCAAGTGGCTCTATCTCTGGACCCACAGGGATCCTATATTCACCAGGACAAATTAACAGTCCGCCTAACCTTGCTGGCATGCTGGTGACCGCCTCAGGTCATGTGAACAATCCAAATGTGCCGGGCCAACACGTCGTACAGCTAGAGCCTGGACAGCTGGTCTACTCGACAAGTCAGTCGCTGCATCCACATGCTTATCATGCTCATCATCCTCACCATACTGGGCTTCAGACAGCATCTCAATCTTCATACATAGGCTCGAATGGGCAGACATTGCCACCAGGTTCTCTCTATGCCGTGGCTTCTGGAAACTCAGCTACTGCTGCTGAAGCCCTTG